AAAATGCCGGCACCAGATTGATTTTATATTGTACACATTGAATAATGTACTTTTTAATCTTTCCATATTTTCAATGGTACGTATCCAGTTACTTATTGATGGAACCACACCAACATTACCCTTTTTGGATACGAATTTCATAGATTTGAGGATGAGTTTTGATTTTGTCCAAACTTCTTGATGCTCTGAGTTTGGTGTAAGCGCTAGCAGCAATGGTTTGCCACTTCTCTTTGAGGAGTTATCGAAGCTGCCATTCAATCAGTCGAACAAATTGTCAAAAAATAATAGCACGTCGGCTGGATCTGAAATAGAAAATAAAATTCAAGTGAAGCTAAATTTTATCTATTTTACTGTAAGTATATTATACAAGTCGTTATTAAGTTTCTGCACAGAAACTGCAATTTTGCAGCTGACTTTCAGACTGTCTACAATAACTCTAAGACTTCACACAGTACACATAGATTCATGTGAACTTACCAGCTGGATATCCCATATTAACTCCTACAGTATGACCGAAAATTTGAGTTGCATGCTTGACTTTCCTTTTTAGGTATTTTATTTGGGTCACAATGAGATTCAGTTAGCTTTTTAATTAATCTTATGCCTTTATATGTACGGTTATTTTCAAAGAGTTTCATAATGTGGTCCCATTTTGCGATTCTATCAGTGCCTTCCATAGTGTATTTTAAATTTTTAGTGAGCAAGTTATTTCGGATTCCTTTTAATAAGTGAGGCACATCAAACAATGGTACCACTTCTTCATTATCAACCTCAAATACTCCATCCCTTGCTTCTTTACCCACTCTTGCATAATCCAACCTTGTTTGTTCAATCAAGTGGTTAATGGCACTAACATTTGATGTTCCCTGGTCACATACAGTAGCAAGGACTTTAAAGCCAGACTCCTTCAATTTTCTTATATTTCTCTTAATCATTAAGGCTAATTCAGCTTTTTTTGTACTGCCAGCACAAAATGAATATGATATCGGCTGTTTATAGTTTTTTAGAATACCTCTAATCATAAAGACTAACACATGATCAGCTATTTCTGTCCTCACCACATCACCATTGTCAACTAAACCAGTAATCCTGTCATTTTTTCCTGTCATAATCAATATGTGGTGTTAAGGCCATTTCATCAAAAACCAGTGTACACAATTTATCATTGGCTTTAATTTTAGATGCCTGCTTCTTAAGTTGGTAAAATATGTTTTCATTTATACCAGGCTTAATATTGGCCTTAGACACTATCTTGCTTAAGGTGAAAGGTGATGGCAGAACAAATATCTTTTGCGGCATCTTGTAGGCTCTTGGTCGACGTTTAAAAAAATGTAATGCGATCACTTTTTCATCTGGTGTGAATCGTCTGCCCATTTTGTGTTTACCACATTCTCTAAATTGGAGCACGGTAAAAATTGTTGCAATTGAGATAAAACTTTTAATTGCTTTTAAGAAAGTAGTATTTTCTGATAGATTCATTGCCTTCTTAAGTCTTTTTGAATATTTCTCATTTGCTATATTCATGCTTTTAAGTTTCTTTTTTTAACACATAAATTCTTATACTAATTTGAGTCCTTTTGGGTTTAGTCACCTTCAAGCCTGAAATTAAAATAACAAGACATTATATTTAAATAGACAACCTAGAAAATTTGTACAATAATTTAGTAAAAAAAAATTTAATTGTAGCAAGTTGATTGCATTTTGAATCATAATTTGGAACATAGTCGATAAATATTGAAATATATATACAGGGTTACATGTTAAATTGACCTAGATCCTTTAGGGGGTTGTAGTTTGCATCATTACCTACTAAAAACAACGATAACACCATACATCAAACATAACCGTTTTCAAGATATTGGATATTTAATTTTTTTTTTATAAAATTTGCCGATTTTTTGTCTATTGTACTATTTTTTTTTAATTTGTGCATCTTGTTTTATTTTTCTTATGATTGTGTAGTAGTTAAGTTGCTTTATTATTTTAAATATCAAGCTCTTATGTAAATAAACTAACTTTTATTTTACTTTATTTCGATTAATTTATTTTCTATACTGTCATTGTCATGTTGGATTTATTATTTTAAAATTGTTACTTTGATGAAATTTATTGATTGATCGACATTTTTTATTTATTTCTAAAATTGTGTAGATTGCTTAATTTTTAATTAATTGATTTTACTGGTTATGGGTGTAAATTGCCTGAATAAAGATGATTATTATTTTTAACTTGAGTTTTATTTTTTATGATTTACCTTTGATCACATAATTCTGCAACTAGTTTTGTGCATATAGTTGCAGAATTATGTGATCTTATAAAATTCGTTAAAAATTATCAGTATACCAGGGACGGGGCTGTACTATATATAGTACTCGTATATTTATAGATAGATATATCACCCGTTTAGTTCGACAACTCCACTATAGATGTCTCTGTACCACAGAATCGACTAGCAACTCTATTCCAGGTATATATAATGTACTCTGTGCTGGACACCAACTACTGCCGCAACCACGCACTACACAAGTTTGCACCATTTCTTGAATTATAACAATAATTAACTTTAAATATCTCAAACAACGCTGTGAACTGCTAAGTAAACAACCGCCATATTTGTCTAATTTATGTTGACATATAGGGCTAATGTTGCCACATTACCGGACCCTTAGGAAATGGGATTGTAATTCACTGATTCGTTAACCCCAAAAATGCATACCTTGAAGACCTTCAATTTTTGAATTTTTAGTGTAATTAATCGTATTTCAACTATTTATTTATTGGTACATTATTTTATAGAGTTTAACTTCTGATTTGGTTAGTGTGGAAACTATGTATTTCTAAGAATTTACCAGGAGATTTAAATAAAAACGAGAAGAGAATTTACGATACGACGAATCGAAACGATTTAAATAAAAATGAGAAGTCAGACCACAGAGAGTGAGATAAAGATACGTAGGTATTTGACTCAAGCTGTTGTTCCAAGTGTGGCCTTCATCTTTATCTATAACTTCATGAATAGCATTGGGTGCGATTGGCAGAAAAAAGCGCTAGCAAGCGCTTGTAAGCAAAATGGTGAAATTAAACAGTTTTCGGCCAGGACACGTTTGTTAACTTCAGTAGCGCTGACAAAATCCGCCATTTTGCTTATTTAATTTGTTTGCTTTAAAGTAGAGTTGTTGTTGTTTTGTGCAATATTAATTTTAAGTATTATAATGGCATGAATAAACATATTATACATGTTATTAAAAATTCATGATTGGTAAGTTTTTAATATGAATACTCTACAAACATACATTTAAATTAGGTTAGATTCCTCGGTTAAAACTAACTTCGTGTCCTAGAGGAAAATAGCTACTTACGATTTGACAGCGCTTACCGCTTACGATCGCCATTTTGCTTACAAGCGCTTGCTAGCGCTTTTTTCTGCCAAACGCACCCATTAGCTTTAGTTTTTCAGTTAATAAAATGTTTTTATGATTGTCCCAAGGACAACAGAAATAAAAACCATTTAATGCTTAGGTATAATTTATCTTTTTTATTACGTACATATTTTTGTATAACTGTTCGGAATTATGTCAAGCACCCAATTTTGTTCATCTTCTTTATCGATGTTTCCAAATATAGGTTTATTGTCAGCATGACATAATTTACTTATTGACACCCAAAACTCTTCAACACTATAGTAACAGCCTCTCTGCTGCAGTGGCGAAGCTAGAGCTCCGAGCTAGGGCAAGCCCAAGATATAAATTGATAAAAATATAGATTGTTGTTTTTAGCAGTTTTATAAAAATACACCAATCTTGATCTGTCTCCACGCTTCAGTTTCATATTCAGTGCTGTCAAGGACGTGTTTAACAAAGCACACAGAAGGCATACCACTGCTAGATAGATTGTATTACAACATATCAGCAATTGCATAGCTTCGGTGGCTTTGAAGAAAGCCGTTTGGGTTTGTTTGAGCGAAAGAAAAAAAAATATTTACATCCAATACAATACATGAACAAAAGTAAAACACGAACAAAGTACAAACAAACTATGTACAAAATTAAAAAAAAAAAGAATTATTTACATTCTAATGGATATGAGATAAGATAAGATAAGTGGAATCGTCTCGCTTTCTTATGGAAAGATTTAATTACGTCCACGTAAAATGTTGGTGAACGTTTTAATTGTACCAATAACTGTTTTTAATTACGATAATTGATAAGTCTGAAATACACTCTTAACCTTGTCTATTATATCAACAAAGTTTAAAGATTTCCTCTCCGATTATCACTTTAGAGGTTCCACTGAAAATCAGCTTTCATGAAATTTCTAAAAGCCGTAAAAAGCGAGGGAGACAACTATTAGCTCTATTAAAACTCATTTTTTATGACAGCACCAGTATCGCTAAAGTATCTGATACACGGTTTGAAACGATGGTTTGAAACCAAGGTGACCTTGGTAGAAAGCGAGTTGCGCTTTGCGGCTACATGGTTTCAAGCCATCAGTGTGGAAAGAACGTTGCGCGGACTGGACGTCTCTACGCTGGCACCGTACAACGAGACGTCATGGTGCCTTACCTATCTATCTACACAACAAAAAGTTGGGGTGGGTCTTGCTCTTTTGTGTGCAATTGAAGGAAAAAAGAAAAAGAAAAAAACGAATATGGATGAAAAGATGGTTAAAGGAGAGATTAACCCTTAGTCATATGAACTTAATGAACCTACTGGACTTTGATGACATATATAACTTTCTAATAATGGATAGACAGTTTTTACGAATTATTGTCCAACGTGAGGCCATTTATAACTAAAAAAGACACAAACATGAGACCAGCAATATCTGCTGAAGAAAGGCTTTTAGCCACACTAAGATTTCTAGCCACTGGAAGAGACTATAAGGATTTGAGATATAGCTCGATAATATCACATCAACTGCTATCAAAAATCATTCCTGAAACTTGCTGGGCAATCTATAAGGTTTTAAAAAAAACAATCAATGTAAGTAATCTGTAATATTTATTTGTGTTTTCTAAAAATTAACAATTCTTTCAAAACTCCTTCCGCCGGATCCTCTGCATACAACACTGTATTCTCAATTATGTTGACAGCGTTCTGTGAAGATGGCGTAGAATTTGAATGTATAATTTGTGAGGAATTTGGAAATATTTGGTAAGAATGAGATGTAGCAGGTGATAGATGTTGTGTATGAGAGAAAGGAGAAGTGGGTAATTGAATGGGAATAGGACAATTTGGGGATGGTGAATTCACTGATTGAGAGATTAGGTAAGAATGAGGTGAAACAGTTGATGGATGTTGTGTATGAGAGGAAGAAGAAGTTGGTGATTGTATGGGAATAGGACAATTTGGGGATGGTGAATTCACTGGTTGAGAGATTAGGTAAGAATGAGATGAAGCAGTTGACGGAGAATATTGTGTAAGAGAGGATGGAGAAGGAGTTGATTCAGTTTGGATGTACTGATTGCCGTTAGAGGAAATCGAAGGAGGTGAGTGTACGAAGTACGATTGAACAGAGTTATGTGAAGAATACTGATTTGTGCTTGATGGAATTTCTATTCTTGTGTCAAAAGTCAAATTATTAGTCTTAGCAAGAAAAATGACCTCTGAAATTAGTTTCTCAGCGAGATCTCGCTGTTGACCAACGGGTATTTGTTCCATTTTCTTGCCCACATATACTCCGAATGCATTAGTTTCCCTTCTGTTCGTTAATAAATCATTTGCTGCATCTATTAGTCTTTCTTTTTTAATTTCGATGTTGCGTTCTCTTGTCAGCTTTTTTGATTCGTCCGGCCTATTTGTTGTTCCTGTAACAAAAATACAGTAGATTTTATATGATATAGTATAATTTATATTTTATTTCGTTACAGCTGCCGTCAACAGAAGAAGAATGGAAAATGTCTGCGAAGTTATTTGAAACACAATGGCACTTCAATAATTGTGTCGGTTGTATAGACGGCAAACATATTTTAATACAAAAACCGCCTGAAAGTGGATCTCTTTTCTTCAACTATAAGGGCACATTTATTGTAGTTTTATTCGCCATCGTAAATGCCAATTACGAATTTATTTATGTCCATACAGGTTCAAACGGGAGCCAGTCTGATGGAGGCATATTCAAAGAGACATCATTTTATGCAAAGCTTACTAACAACCAATTGCATTTACCTGAACTCTACTTGTTACCAGGAACAGATATATCTGTATCATATGTTTTTTGGGCGATAGTGCTTTTGCACTTGAATAACATGTTATGAAATCATTTCATGAACGGAACATTTCAAGGGAGCAAACCATATTCAACTACAGACTATGCAGAGCTAGGAGAATTGTAGAAAACGCTTTCGGCATCCTTGCGTCTCGTTTTCGAGTTTTTAGACAACCGCTAAATTTAAGTCTCGAAAATATAGATGCAGTTGTGTTGGCAAGTTGTGCTTTACACAATTTTTTGAGGAAAAAGTCGAAAACATATTTGACTCCAAGTGTGTTGATAAAGAAGACTTAGAGAGAGGTACTTTTATTAATGGGATTTGGCGTCAAGAAACAAACCAACTAACATCTCTGCAAAGAACCATTCAGAGGCCTTCGACAGATGGGAAGAACATCAGAAATACTCTCACTCAGTATTTCAATGGTGCCGGTAGCGTCACTTTTCAAGATAGAATGATAAATTTTGTTAGTACCTATATGAAATAATTAGTAATTACATAAGCCAGATGCACCAAATTGTATAACATCATTATACTTAGTTTATATTAAAATAAATCTCTGTTTTGAAAGTAATTAGATATTCTAGTATTTATTGAACCCATACTTACTCGAGGTTATCAAATAATTACCATAAGTCCATATTTCCTAAAGAATATAATTATGTGTTACTGGCAATCTGTATAATTTAGGTATGTATACTACATGCCTTTTACACACATTGTCAATTACGCTGTTGGCATTGTATAGAATACCTAGGCGTATATAGAATACCTAGAATACCGAGTAGTGGCGGTTGAGAATATCCACTACCCCATATCTTACCGTGGGTGTCGTAAGAGGCGACAGAGGGAGACAGGCAGGAGATGGGCAGCAGCATCTTCCTGATAACTGTGTTATAATAAAAAACTGCGGTTGCCAACCCGCTCGCCAAGCGTGGCAACTGTGGCAAACATCTCCCCATGATGAACGACGCAAAAAAACGGCCCCCAGTCCCCGGCGACCCCGCTATTCCTGGATACGGTGGCGACCATGGTAACGGCGGGGCAGGGGGTGCTAAGAATCTCCGGTGGAGATTCGGTTGCCACCTACGACGACTCGACCTGGCAACATATAACGCACGCACTCTGAGGACTGACGAGAAGTTACTGGAGCTGGAAGAAGTTGTAGACAAGTTGCGCTGGCATATTATTGGATTATCCGAGGTCCGAAGAGAGGGGGAGGATACGGCAATCCTCGAGTTCGGCAACTTGTTCTACCACCGGGAGGGCGACCACCTGTCCCAAGGAGGTGTCGGATTTATCGTCCACAAGTCTCTCGTCAACAACGTTTTAAAGATTGGGAGTGTGTCGACGAGGGTCGCGTACCTGATACTCAAAATCACCAAACGGTATTCGCTGAAGATCATACAGGTTTACGCACCAACCTCGAACCACATCCCGATGAGGAGTTGGAGGAAATGTATGAGGATATTTCCAGAGCCATGCATTCCTCCAAAACCCACTACACGGTGTTGATGGGAGACTTCAACGCAAAACTAGGCACAAGAGAAAGCGGTGAGCTGAGGGTGGGGAAATGTGGAGTAGGGCAACGGAACCGAAGGGGCCAGCAGCTGGCCGACTTTATGGAGAAAGAGGGACTCTTTATGATGAACTCTTTCTTCCAGAAGCGGCCCCACAGGAAGTGGACCTGGTCGAGCCCCGACGGTTCAACAAAAAATGAGATTGACTTCATTATGACGACCAGACGCCAACTGTTCAGTGATGTCTCAGTGATGGCAAGGGTGAAAACTGGCAGCGATCACGGAATGGTTAGAGGCACACTTAACCTAAATGTTAAGTTGGAGAGGTCTCGTCTAATGAAGTCAACGCTCTGTCCCCCTCGTGCTCTAATCCAGAATCCCGAAACCTTTCAGCTCGAGTTACAAAACCGCTTTCAGTGCCTAGAGGATTGCAATGCAGTGGACGATATGAATGACAAGCTCGTGGAAAGTGTCCATGCGGTCGGAGCTAAGTTCTGCAAGACCCGCCGCAGAAGAACACAAAAACTCTCCGATCACACTCTTAATCTCATGGCTGTTAGACGGGAGATGAGGCTGCAATCGTCAACAGATTTGACAGCATACAGGCAGATAGCAGGCATAGACTGAACAGACAGATCTCCAAATGCATGCGGTGAGACTTACGCAACTTTAATACTGCTCGTATTAAAGAAGCGATCGAGCGGAACCAGGGCTTCAAAGTCTTTGCCAGAGATCTGTCTGCCAGAAAGAGCCAACTGTCAAGGCTGAAGACTGAGTGTGGCAACATCGTTTCCGGGACACCTGAGATTCTGAGTGAGATTGAGAGGTTCTATGGGCAGCTGTACACATCATCGTTGGAGCCACACGCAAGTGTGAGTAACGATCCAAGAGCAAGTCTTATCCGACACTATTCCGATGATATCCCGGACGTCAGTCTGAGCGAGATTAGAATGGCTCTCCACCACCTTAAAAACGGCAAGGCCCCGGGCGAGGATGGAATTACAGCGGAGCTTCTGAAAGCGGGTGGAACACCGGTACTTGAAGTCCTTCAGAAGCTCTTCAATTCCGTCCTCTATGGTGGCACTACTCCGGAGGCGTGGAGCAGAAGCGCGGTGGTCTTGTTCTTTAAGAGAGGCGACAACGCTCTCTTGAAGAACTACAGACCTATTTTCCTTTTGAGCCGTGTCTACGTGCTGTTTTCGAGAGTCATTACGAATCGTCTCGCACGCAGACTCGACGACTTCCAGCCTCCGGAACAAGCCGGTTTCCGAAAAAGCTTCAGTACCATAGACCACATACATACCCTGCGGCAGATTGTACCCTTGTAGAAGACCGAAAAGTACAATCTGCCACTTTGCCTGGCGTATGTGGACTATGAGAAAGCCTTTGATTCCGTCGAAATTTGGGCGGTGCTACAGTCTCTTCAGCGGTGCCTAGTTGACTGTCGGTATGTTGAAGTGCTGAAGTGTTTGTACAGTAGGGCTACGATGGCTATCCGAGTACAGAACCAGAGTACGAAACCTATCCAACTGCAGAGAGGTGTAAGACATCATCATCATCATCATCACAGCCCTTCACAAGTCCACTGCTGAACATAGGCCTCCCCCAAGTAATGCCACAAAGCACGGTCCTGAGCCACCTGCATCCATCGACTTCCTGCATATCTTACCAGGTCGTCACTCCATCTAGTGGGGGTCGCCCTACACTACGCCTACCGGTACGAGGCTGCCACTCGAGAACCTTTCTTCCCCATCGGTTATCGGTTCTTCGAGCTATATGGCCGGCCCATTGCCACTTCAGCTTACTAATACGTTGGGCTATGTCGGTCAATCTGGTTTTACTGCGGATATCCTCATTTCTGAGTCTATCACGCAGAGAAACTCCGAGCATAGCCCTCTCCATAGCTCGCTGAGCGACCTTGAGCGTCCTCATACGGCCAGCAGTGAAGGACCACGTCTCTGATCCGTAAGTCATCACTGGCAACACGCACTGGTTGTACACTTTAGTTTTCAGAGATTGAGGTATACCTGACGAGAAGATATGTCGTAATTTCCCGAACGCTGCCCAGCCGAGTTGAATCCGTCGATTGACCTCTCGGTCGAAGTTGGACTTACCTAGTCGGAATATTTGTCCCAGGTAAACGTACTCGTCAACAACTTCGAGCATAGTGCTCCCAACAACTACCGGCATAGGTGTGACATGGACATTAAACATAATCTTTGTTTTGTCCATGTTCATCTTAAGACCTATCCGTTGGGAGGCACTATTGAGGTCATTGAGCATAGTGCTTAAGTCCTCCAGCGATTCTGCCATAAGGACTATATCGTCGGCAAATCGAAGGTGAGTGATGTACTCGCCATTGATGTTAATACCGTATCCTTTCCAGTCCAGTAGCTTGAAAACGTCTTCCAAAGCAGCGGTGAAGAGTTTCGGGGATATAACGTCACCCTGTCTTACACCTCTCTGCAGTTGGATAGGTTTCGAGCTCTGGTTCTGTACTCGGATAGCCATCGTAGCCCTACTGTACAAACACTTCAGCACTTCGATATACCGACAGTCAACTTGGCACCGCTGAAGGGACTGCAGCACCGCCCAAATTTCGACGGAATCAAAGGCTTTCTCATAGTCCACATACGCCAAGCAAAGTGGCAAATTGTACTCTTCAGTCTTCTGTACAATCTGCCGCAGGGTATGTATGTGGTCTATGGTACTGAAGCCTTTTCGGAAACCGGCTTGTTCGGGAGGCTGGAAGTCGTCGAGTCTGCGTGCGAGACGATTCGTAATGACTCTCGAAAACAGCACGTAGACGCGGCTCAGAAGGGAAATCGGTCTGTAGTTCTTCAAGAGAGCGTTGTCGCCTTTCTTAAAGAACAAGACCACCGCACTTCTGCTCCACGCCTCTGGAGTAGTGCCACCATGGAGGACGGAATTGAAGAGCTTCTGAAGGACTTCAAGTACCGGTGTTCCACCCGCTTTCAGAAGCTCCGCTGTAATTCCATCCTCGCCTGGGGCCCTGCCGTTTTTAAGGTGCTGGAGAGCCATTCTAATCTCGCTTAGACTGACGTCCGGGATATCATC